TTGTCTTAAGATTTCTACATTTCCTGTTATTTCATTTTGTAATTTCTCATTTAATAAAATAAGTGTTGTGTTCCTCTAAATATATCTCTGTTTTGTTGCCTTTTACATATTCCTTTTATATAATACCTACAAACCTTATTTTGCATTAGCACACCTTAAAAATGAAAATCTAATATATCTCTAAATACAACAAAAAATATATGCCTTAGGAAACCTTAATTTATAAAAAGAATGTGACATCTTCTATGAAATACATAAGTCTCTCATATCTTGAACATGTGTAATTATGCCATGACTAAATATTAGGGAACATGTTTAGAACAAATAGGTTGTTTCTCACCTAGTGTAAAACTTTCCTCATTTTATCATGATCAAAACCATTGCTTTAAAAGAGATAATCACATGATTGGTCATAAGTGTATTCTGAAACTTGTTCACATTTGATAAAAAGACCTTATGCCTTTTTAGGAAATCTCACCTTGAGTAATATCTTCTATGTCAAACATATGTTTCTTTGCCCTCTGTCATCACTACTTGATATAACACCCATAATGTTTTTATAATTTATCCTCTCTTTTCATAAATGGGATGTTCGATAAAATGTTATATACCATGATATTCTCTATAACATATTTGCTAAGTGTCTTTTATATATATATATATATATATATATATATATATATATATATATATATATATATATATATATATATATATATATATATATATATATATATATATATATATATATATATATATATATATATATATATATATATATATATATATATAAATAATGCATTATGCCATGTTAATACTGAAACTTGATAAAAGTCTTTCATTACCTAGAATTGTATGGATGAATATGTTACATATATGCTATCATTTTAAATGTCTGCATATCTATTTGTATCCTTTTACCCACCTTTTTGATTATGACAAAAGGGAAGAAGTATACTCTCAGGGGGGAGGGTATATATTCTATCTAACTCAAGGGAGTATTATCACTCCAAAAATGCATTGCTTTATTTCTTTTACCATCTCCCTTGAGAGATGTGTTGCCGTCATAAAAAAAGGGGGAGAATGCGGGACCTTGTTTTGTAGGTAATAAGTTATTGTTTTGATGATGACAACTCTTTAGCATGAAAAAGATGCAACATAATAATAACTTCAAAGTACATAATAGACATTCAACATATTGAAGATGCAACAAGTTTTTTTTTTACTATAAAGGAGAAAACAAATAATTAGCATGATAAAGATGCAAATATAACAAATGTAAAAGAGAAGATAAAATAATATCCAGCATAGTAAAGATGCAACCATTTATAAAGTCAACCAATGTACTCAAAAAGGGTAAATATGCAAGCCAAAAGGATTAATGTTGATTAAAAAAGTCTCATTTGAAGGACTGACAAAGTGTCGAATATCAACAAAGTCTCAGATAAGGGCAACCAAATGGATTATATCAAAAGCCTGAGGAGATCCCAAGCAAGGTGTCGACACAGTGAATATATCAGACACAAACTTAGGGAAGTTATCCCAATTTAGTAAGTGAGGGAAACTTTTGTAAAACGCAAAAGTCTTTCTTTGTAGAAGTAGATGTCTAGAAGCCCACACATACACACACACACACACATTTAAAAACCATTTTATAAAATGTTTTTGAAAATAAAATACTTTAAAGAAATATATAGAAGTTACTTAGAAAGTGATGGGAACATTCAAAAAGGCAGAAAATTTATTTTGACTGGATCTAATCGATTAACACAAAGTATCAATCGATTAGATTGTCACGTTCTTGAGAAACAAGGAAATTTGAATGTACCCAAATAATTAGCAACAACTATATATCAATTCTTACCTATTTTAGAAAACACAATCGTTACATTTAAATGATTTAATTGATTGGCTTAATCTATTAGTAACGATCATTTTTATTTAATAATGTTTCTCTTTTGGAGGATTTGAAGCCTATAAATAGAGATCTTATTTCTTGGTTTAAATCATCTAGAAGAAGAATTGTATATTGACACTCTCTCTCTCTAAGTTTTCATTTCCACTTTCTCTCACTAGTTCTTATAGCCAAATGCTTTTGTGAGGAAAGATCTTTTGTGAGTGAGATGTTTATGTAATTTTGGATGGACAACAATGTATGAAGTTCTTAAATGTTGTTATTGATGCACCTTGATGAACATAATTCATTTTATGTATAAAAATATGTGGTTCGAAGGTAAACCCATGAAAAAATTTGGTTGAGGATTGTGTGATCAGTTTTTGATATTTAGTTAGGTTGAAGATCGTTAATATGGTTGAATTTCCCTTAAGGCTATTATAAAACTTTGTTCATTTGAAGGGTGAAGTTCTTCAATATTGATGAACTTACCATTAAATTCATGGTTAGCTCGTATAAAACCATATGTTAGAAGATCAACTTGTTAAAATATCAAGAGGTTAATGGTTATCTTGTTAAACCATATTGAGCTCAGATATTTCAATCTGTAGTTAGGAAGGAAGATTGGCCACTTCAGTATCAATAATGGAGGAGACGTAAATGATCATATCTTCTGTCTTGTATTATCATGGTTGTAGGTCAACCACCATTTCCTTGTATAAGGGAGTCCGTGAACTTCACCTACTAAAAGCTTTCAAGTATATAATGGAAACTCTCAAGACCAGTTCTTGGGGGATATGAGTAGGTCTTTTTTATTTGACCAAACCTCTATACATCGTGGTATTCTTCTTTTCTCTTAATTTTTTAATTTTTGCACTTTACTTTTTAAAATACTTTTATATTCCACTGCTAAGTTATAGAAAAATATTTTTAAACTATGATTGACCTTAGGTTTTAGAAAAAGCTTTTCAAATTCTGATTTTAATCTCAAAAAGTTTTCAAAACCATGTTTTTTCAAACCACACAATTCACCCTCCTCTCGTGTGTGAAGTCTCATGTCCAACAAAAATTACTAAGATAAAGAAGTTCAAAAGAGTGTTGATGAATTCATTTGACATGACTGACCTTGGCAACATAGTATACTTTCTAGAGATAGAGATTTTACATACTGCTAAGGAAATCATTGTATAACAACTGAAGTATGAGTTTGAGTTGTTGAAGAAATTTGAACTGATGAATTGCAAGCTGCTCTACACAAGAAGAAAAAAAAACAAATTAGAAGCTCACAGTGATGGTGAAGATGTAGATGCTACTGTTTTCAAGCAATTGGCTGATTCTTTGAGGTACCTATGCAACACTAAGTATGATATCTATTATGTAGTTGGAATGGTGAGCATGTTTATGAGTAAACCAAAGTGGTCACACTATCATGAAGCTATTAGAATACTCAAACATCTAAAAAGAACTCTGAAGTATGAGATCATTTTTCCATCTGGTACAATTGACAATTCTGAGTTGGTCTGCTATTCAGACTCTGACTGGTGTGGAGATATGATATATAAAAAGTACTACAAAATATGTATTCGTGTATTTGGGTATTCTATTTTATGATGCTCCAAGAAGCAATTAGTGATTGCATTGTCTACATGTGAAGCAAAGTATATAGTTGGAGATGTAGCTGCTTGCCAAGCTACCCGGTTGATCAATTTGTTGCAGGAACTAAAGTTTGATGTGCAAACACCAGTGATGATGTTGATTGATAACATATCAGCCATAGACCTTGCCAAAAACTCAGTGTTGCACGAGAGAAGCAAGCACATTGACACATAGTTTTATTTTCTGCAAAATCAAGTTCAGAATGAAGTGCTTGAGATTGTTGAATGCAGTACTCAGAGACAACTTACATATGTATTTACCAAGACAAATCAATTAATCAAGTTAAAGAATGATCTAGGTGTTGTTGTTTTTGAAAATGTAAATTAAGGAATGATATTGTTAGTACTTAGTAATTCATACTCTCATTTATTGTTCTACTTAAAATAATTACTTTCAAGCATTGTTGTTAATCTTCATTTACATTACATTTTGATGTACATTTGAGTTTTAAGATTGGTCAATTGTAGAATCTAATGCAAGGGTACGATGAAAACCACTTCATCTTCTCCCTTGAACTATGTGTGCATCAATGGAGTCTCAGAATTGGCTCCAACAACAACAATGTCTACAAATAAGAGCACATATCACAAATCTATTTCACATCATACTATTGATAAAAGAAGAACCGCGAAAGGTCTGCTCGATTTTTTCAAAATGTTTACATTTTGTACCACTTATCTTCTTTGAAATCAACACTAACATTCTGATGTTTCTAATATCACCCCAATAAAAATAGAAATTTAAGATAAACCTCTATTTCGAGTGCTTTCTCATAACTTTTTAAGTCGAAAGACACTGCACATCATCATTATTTTTGAAGTTTAAGTATGAAAATAGTAAGATTAAAAAAATTTAAGATTTGATATTTTTTAATAGAAAAGAAGAATTTAAAATTTATGTAATTGAAAAAGAATAAATAAAGTCGTTAGAGAAGAAACTGCATAAACATTAACAAAAATATAACATAAAACAAAATTTTCAAAGCGTTACAAATGAACGTGTTTAGACTAATTAATTATGTGAAGAAAAATTTGATAATTAAGTTAAGTGATGGTCACAAATTCAAGAATAAAATATTTCATGTATTTCTCCCTTCTCAACCGAGTCAAACTCATAAGTCATTCATGTCTACTAGTACTAACTTTGAAACTCGAAGTTTGTTCTTTTTTTCATAGACAAATAAAAAGCCTTGTCCACTTTTTGATTTATTAGTAGTATTTTTCAAAACAAATTTCAAATATTATTAATATCCCCTTTTCTTTTTTCCTGAAGAAAAAACAAGACCGTTCCTCGTTAGCTGTGCCTTCAATTTCTCTCCCCACTCTTTTACACCATTCTATTCTCTTTCTCTAATTCCCTTTATCAACACAAGACAACGACGTCGTTTTTAGTTATACCTTCATCACTCCCATCTAACCTCACACTCATACCCACACCCACACCCACACCCATGGTTGCCGGTAAAGTTAAGGTAGCAATGGGATTCCAGAAATCTCCGTCACCGGCGCATGTACACAGCACTCCTCCTCCGTCGCAGAAGAAGAAACAACCACCTCCTCCTTCTCCCTCCACCACTACTTCCGCCTCCAAATCTTCCTCTCACAAATCATCATTCTCTCGCATAGGTTTCCATTTCCCTCGCTCTTCCGCTCAAGTACAGCCTCGTCCACCGGACGGGACTGAGCTCCTCCGCATCGTGGAGGAGCTCCGGGAGAGTGAGTCTCGTTTGAAGACAGAGCTTCTCGAGCATAAACTACTGAAGGAGTCTATAGCCATTGTCCCGGTTTTAGAAAACGAGATAACTGCAAGAGAAACTGAGATTCAGAGAAACAGAAAGAGAGCGGAAGAAGCGGAAGCAGAGAACGAGAGGTTAAAGAAAGAGTTACAGGAAATGAAGCTTCAAATGGATGAAGAGAGAAGAGAGAATGAAAAGAAAATGAAAGCGTTGGAAGATCAAATTACTGAACTGAAGAAAACGACGCCGTTAGAGAGTGACGAGCACGAGCATTTTTCCACTTCGCACAGGTTTCAGGGAATCGGAGAGGCTTCGGTCAAGTTCAATCTCATGAAAACGTTGAAGAAAACGATGTCGGATCATGCAATCGTGATTCCGAAGCAGAACGAAGGTGTGGATTTGAAAAGAGAGCTTGCAGAAACTGAAACACAACGTCACTCTCGGTGTAACTCCGAGGAACTCGCCGAATGTAACGTCAGATCCCGCGTTCCTCGAGTTCCTAATCCACCGCCGAAGCCGTTATCCTCTTCACCGTCGTCACCGACCGTTTCGCTCGCGGAACATAGCAATGGCGAAACAGAACAAGCAATTTCGCAACCGCTTCAACCGGCGAATACAGCACCGCCTCCACCTCCTCCTCCTCCAAGGAAACCTCTCTCAAAAGCAGCTCCTCCGCCTCCTCCACCACCACCCAAGGGAGGAAAACCGGCTTCAGCGAAGGTAAGAAGAGTGCCGGAGGTGGTAGAGTTTTACCATTCCTTGATGCGGAGGGACTCTCAATCACGACGGGAATCAAACTCCGGTTCCGCCACAGAAATCCCGGCGACGGCGAACGCCCGTGACATGATCGGCGAGATCGAGAACCGTTCAACACACTTACTAGCGGTAAGTGCACGTGAGTTTTGTTGCGTAATTACTATTTTGCCACTGGTCATTTATGTCAGTGTCTTCAGACATGTGTAGTCGCTTTAATTGCTTTAATTTGAATTGGATATTTTCTCGTAGATAAGACAGTAATCTGATTCGAATTTAGATGTCTAAAATCGTAAATATACATAAAAGTACGGCATTTTGTGATCATTGCAAATAAAAAAGATTCTCTGGTCTTATTTTTATGTTAATCAAATCAAGTGATAAAAGCTTAATTATAGTATTAAACTGATTAAAGCTTATTTTTATGTTTATTTACAGATAAAAACTGATGTAGAAACACAAGGGGATTTTATTAGATACTTGATTAAAGAAGTGGAAGGTGCAGCATTTATGGACATTGAAGATGTAGTTCCTTTTGTTAAATGGCTTGATGATGAACTCTCCTATTTGGTATTCTTTCATCCATCAATTATTTATATATTTTGTATTAAAATTTATAATTAAAAAAAAGAGTTATTTTATTTTATTTTATATCTGTTTTTCTATTTTTGTTGCTATATAGGTGGATGAAAGAGCTGTGCTCAAACACTTCAATTGGCCGGAGCAGAAAGCTGATGCTCTGCGCGAAGCTGCATTTGGATATTGTGATCTGAAGAAGCTTGAATCCGAGGCTTCGTCTTTCCGCGACGATCCTCGGCAACTATGCGGTCCAGCTCTTAAGAAGATGCAGACTTTATTTGAGAAGTATGTGAATTTGTGAACTTGGATAAATTTAGCTAGTAGTACCAAATTTGAGGTTTCATATTGATGTGATATGAAGATGACACCTAATTTCATAAAAAATGCATGCATAAAGAGCAAATGCAGGAATAATGGAACTTAAATTTTGATAAGAATAGGACACCTAACTTCATTAAAAATTAATTCATTTATTTATAATGAAAATGAAACTCAAATTTAATATAAACATGTGAATTATATTATATGTAAAATGTATAGAAAACTACTTGACATTTTTTGTTTTTTAATTAATGTTACGACAGATTAGAGCACGGGGTTTACAATATTTCTAGAATGAGAGAGTCAGCAACGAAGAGATTCAAAGTCTTCCAAATTCCTATAGATTGGTTGCTTGATAGCGGTTATGCCACCAAGGTAATTTTAATTAAGCTTAATTATCCTAATTTAGTTAGGTTCGTTGAATCAATGGGCAAGTAGGTTTTTTGGTTGATGTTGACTGTGCCCTTAGTAAATAAAAACCTTCTATTGACTCAACTTGTTTATAGTTCTCCAATCAGTTGCCATGGTAAAGTTTATTACATGATTTACTGGACAAGTTGCTGACAGCAAAATGCCAAAAAAATTGTTAACTTTGCTGATAAATTTCAACTTCAGTTCTGTGTTCTTTTCTGCTTGCACATGTGACCCTAGATTTCAATATCCTATTGGGACCATCTACTTCTCAACTTAGTGAAGGAAAATCTCTTTGCTTGCCATCTTTGAAGGGGAATTAGATTTCTCTATGTTTAAAAAATTAAAAGATTATTAATAAATAAATAAAATGCCCTTATGCTTGTAAATTACATTACAAAAAAAACAAGCCACACACTTGTAAATTACTACCATGTTTTATTTTTTTGTTTTGTATTGAAACCATGAGGTTATTCTCAAACATTGGTTCACTCATTTATGTTAAATTTGTTAGATCAAGCTGGCATCTGTAAAATTGGCTATGAAGTATATGAAAAGAGTCTCTGCTGAGCTTGAGACAGTTGGTGGTGGGCCTGAAGAAGAAGAACTGATTGTTCAAGGAGTAAGATTCGCTTTCCGGGTACATCAGGTAAAAATTTGCCTGACATGGTTAAACTCAAATAAAACGTTGATGCGTATTCAACAACTACAGTAAACGACCATTCATAGTAATGTGCTGTTATGTTTGGCAGTTTGCTAGCGGTTTTGATGCTGATACAATGAGAGCATTCCAAGAATTGAGAGATAAAGCAAGGTCGTGTCATGTTCAATGCCATGGGCAACAACAGAAGTTCTTGTGCAGGCCTGCAGCATGTTAATGCAGGAGACAACTCAACTCCAGAGAGAAGTAGTATAGTAGAGCCCCTTTTCACTAGTTTGTGAATATAATGGCAATATTATTATTATTAGCCATCGTTAAAGTGGGAAACAAATCAGGAAACAAATTAATTTGCTTCCACTTTGGCGCTTGTTGTTGTGAATTGTCAAGAAATCCGTTTATTAAATCATTCATTCATTTATAAAGAAACGGGGATGGTATCAAACTCTGGCACTTGTAGCTGTTGTGGATTTTGTATGTTGTGTTGAGAACTTGTATGTCTTCATGGGTAATTGCATCCTCATCAACATCATGTTAAAGAGCAAGCAACTAGTTGAAAAAAATATAAAAGATCTAGTAAGAATTTAAGAACAATATTAGATGACCGTAAAATTTACTTATGACTTTATATGCTTTGAGTTTCACTTGACTCAATATGGATGGATCTCCTAATTTTTTTTTGATTGTTTTTGATAATAAATATGGATCTCCTACTTGGAAAAAATGTCATATACCAACCAACCACTGTCAATCATTCGTAAAGTTATATTAAACAGTGTTTGGCAACAATTTAAACCCTAAATTTATCCCACTATCTTAGTTGGTAGTAAAAAGTGAAATTTTTTTTCACAAAAACCATATTTTTCAATTTAAATTCCTAAATAACCATGTTTTCCACTAAATTATGCAAATAATTAGGTTTTGAAACTGACCTAAATGTTGGTGCCACCCTAATCTTATCTATGTCGATTTTTTGTGTGCACACGACATGGGTCATAGCGCCTATGTCCAGATTAAAAACACGACGCCACCCCATGTGACGCCTATGTGAAATGTGTGTGTGAAAAGTATTCATATAAGATGGTTCTTACGTGTTAGGACATTTTCTATAAATAAAACTTTCATCTTCCACCATTCTTCACACCTTTTCTCACTTTCTCTCTAATTTCTTCTTCATGGCATATAACATGATTTTTAAAAGGGATGGGTATGTTTGTTTCACTGTTATCAAACCCCTGATTAAAATAAAATTTTAGAACATCCATTCAATGAACCATCTTAAGAGTTCCTTGATCCACTAGTTAGAAGAGGAGTTCAAAGATGGTGAAATCATCTAAAGAATTCAAAGACTTAGAACGATCACCTCAATTGCGACATAAGCACTAGAAAGTTGGTGGGATGAAGTCAAAAGTGACAATAATGTCTATTCTATGATGCACGGATCAGAAGATATTATTTTGGCGGTTGTGGTATTACAAGGGTCATCGATCAAACACAATAGGAACCTCAAAGGGTTATGGGTCAACGAGTTAAGAGATCGTTGCAGTCCGGAATCGATGGTCGTTACGGTGATCCAAAATATTAAAATATATGTATTTGTTATTTCACAATGTAATGTTTTTAATTAAATAGTAGTAATTTTTTTTGTTAATTATATATTTAATATTATTTAAAGAAAAAAAAATTAAAAATACACATCGGTGTCATATGAAATAGTGTGTCTTAAAATCGTTGTACTTAGGTGTCATCTCATATGAAAAATTTCTTTCTATACCTTGGTGTTTTCTAGCAGCCCTCTGACAAAAGATCTAAAATATTCCTAAAATTCGAATATGCATATCCGAATGCATCAAATTTAAATTTTTTAGGGATTTGTTAGGATATACATATTTGAAATAACCCAATAGTTTAATATTGAGTTATTTCAGATATACATATCCGAAATAACATAATATTTCATTTTAAAGGGATTTTCTGATATGCATATCCGAAATAACCTCATTTATTCTTATGAGATATATATGTATTTAATATAGATGATATCTATAATTTATAAATTATTCATCATTTTTTTAGAGGAATCCATTCATTTAATATTAAATGTCCTATTTTAATATTATTAATTATTAATAACATTTAACTTTTAATTATAATATAAATATTTTTAATATAATAAATTTTCTAATTACAACATAATAATTAATTATCAATTCTATAATAAAAATTAAAAAGTGTCATCTAAATTTAATTTAACTTTTAAAGTTACAATTAAAAAATATTTCTTATATTTTTTAAATCAAATTATTCTTAATTTTAAATAAAAAAATTAAAAGACAATTATATTTCACCATTATAATTAGAAATTTAATTATTGCATTAATTATTTAATTTAATATCATAAATTTATTTTAATATTTAACTTTCAATTCTAAATTAAAGTTATTCTTTATTAATAATAACTCAATTTAATTATATTATAAATGTATTATAAATAAGTATCTTTTCAAAATAAAATCAAAAGAAGTTTGAGATATTGGGTTATTTGGATATGTATATCTGAAATCTCCCTGAAAATAAAATATAGAGGTTCGTTTGGACATGCATGTTTGAAATATCCAAATATCCCAAATTCGTAAGGTGCGTTCGAATATGTACATCCGAAGGATATTTCATATTTTCAGAGGTTTAACTCAACATAATCAGATAGAGAAAGAAATTATCTCTCATATAACGCGCACACGAAAAAAATAACACATAGGCACCATTAAAGGTGGCGCCAACACCTATTTGCAAACCTAAACCTGGTTATTTGGGTAAATTTTTTGAAATATTGATTATTTGCATAATTAAGTTGAAAATGTTGGTTATTGTAGAAAAATTTTCGCAAAAAGTTATATAGGGTATAAATTGACAATTTTTAGGATGAAATTGTAATGGTTGATATTTTGTCTCATAGATTTGCATAAGTTTCAATCTCGTAACATATATTCAGATGTCCTTGCACAATTATTAATTGATCTAACTTAATAAAATTTTACCTTGTTATTTTATGTCTTGTTTTCTTCCTAGCAGCCTTTCATGATTCTCAAGGTTTATTAAACTCCATATTTTCAAATATTTTTACTTAATTCTTCAATTTACAAAACTATTCTCACAATTATGTACGGGGGATGATTCTAATGTAAGACCCATCTTCATCTTCTTTCTTTTTTAAAGTCATGAGAATTAGGTACGATAAATATGATAAAATTTGTATTTATTTGTTAAAGAATTTTTTATATAAGTTCCATATCGACTATATCATGTAATAAACTGTAAATCTTTACATATATAGTACAGTTTTCGTAGTGTTATTCTCACACGTTTTATTCAAAAATATCTCAGTCTTACATGGTATCAAGAATGCTAAAGATCATAACATAATTCCCCTCAAAAGTCGATGTAGCAGTACCTCCTCTCCCACCATCGATGCGGCTTCTCCTTAAAAGCCACTACCACAATACCTCTTTCTTCTTCACCCTCGACACTTTTCCTCAAAAGTCATCGTCGCAACTCTTCCCGCAACGCTGTTGCATCTCTTCCCGCAACACTGTTGTCGCTGCAATACATCTTCCTCTTGCACCACTGCCGTTAGATCTCATTTCCTCACTCCGATCACACGACACGTTGTTGGCTCCTAAATTCGACACCCTTGTTTGTTATTAATATAGACCATTAATTATGAGGAACGGTTTCGACCAGCTGATCCTGTCGAATGCTCATCAGAAAGTGGCAAGGTACTTAGAGAATTTCTTTTAAGTAGGAATCTTGTTGCCTTCGACGTCGAAGGAACTTCTCGACAAAGGTATTTGATGTCCCAGGGTGGAACGGTTTGAGATTCGAATGTTTGGAGGGAAAACGGTTCCCAGCAGTTACCAAGCGCAACGTGCCAAGATCAGGAGCGTCGAATGCTGTGAGCATGCCAAGTGGAGTCATCTCGAAGCAACGTAACTGCCTAACGGTTACTTGAGATGTGTTTAGTATAAATACTAGTTGTTCACGTAGTTTTCACGTGTGTTCATCATTATATACAAGTCACTCATCTAGATTCAAGTACCCAGTGTGAGCGAAAGAATTGTTGAGAATGTATGTGTGAAACACCATTTAAATTAATCAAAGTCTTTTATATTCCAGCACTTTATTGCCTTTCATTTACTCTTCTCCGTCGAAGCCTTTGTTTAACACTTTCATTTATTCTATCAAGCTTTTCTTCATGTAATTTACATAAAGTGTCTTTACTTTACTGGCATTAACCATCATTAGATCTAGTCAAACCCCAAAAAATCAACCATGTCTTAGGATCAATCTGATCGATCCTGCGAGTCACCAAATAAGTAACCTTTTGGAGGATCAGCGGTTGTTTACCAATTTCCACGGTAAACAAATTGGCACACCGTGGGACCTTGTGTTGATTTTTAAGGTTAACCGTATTTATATAAAATATCATCTTTTTTCGAGAAGTATTGCATGTTATTGAGAAGTGGTAGAATATACACTAACGATACCAATACTACGAGAAGAAGAGAAGCGATGGAGAATCCGCCAAACAATAGCGAAATCCCACAAACAAATGTGGGAACAACGGTTATCCCAACTGTAAGTGAAACGCTAACCGCTGGTTCAACACCAGCAGTAACGGTCACACAAACGGGGCCATTACCTCCGTTCACTGGCCCCAGAATGCCTTTGGGAACTCCCCCACCAAGGGGAAACCCAGGAACTAGGCCTTATGTTCCCCCAGGATTTTCGACAGGCGGTCTAAATCGAGAACCACTCTATGGCATGCCAACTTTTGAATTGGCTAGCCTGACGAACGCTGCATCCACTTTTTTAGACCCTTTAGTGAGCGCCTCTTCGCCACTCCAAGGTTCCGGAGTTGGTATGGCGAACAGGAGTAGGACCCAACTCTTAGGAGGAAAGTCCCAAGTAGCACATGGCCTTACGAATGCCTCGACAGCAGTCTTGAGGCAGCAAATGGACGAAAGCAACCACGATATGGTTCAAATGTTGGCACAAACTTTAAGTACAATGCTGAATCCTCTAATACAAAATACCACCCAGTCGAATCAGCAGATGACAGCACAAATGGCGCGTCTGGCCGATTTCTTTGGGGTACCCCAACCTATTCGACATCCCCAAAGGGCGCAAATAAGGGGAAACCAAGGTATACTTCTAGAGGAA